AAAAAGTACGAGGAATATTCGCAATTCTTGCGGCACTGTCGGGCCTTCGCTTCGGGGCCCTTTTCAGAATCTGTTCGGCCTTTCTGTGGGCACTTCCGGGGGCTCTCTTGATGCCACTTCTGGGCCATCTTGGGGCGCCCGTTGGGGCCCTCCTGTGCCACATCCTGGAGCTTCTTGGGGCCCTCTTCATGGGCCCCTCTCTGGGTGCTCTTGGGATCCTCTTGGACTGTCCTTTAGAATTCTCCTGGGCCTCCCTTGGGGTGCCCTTGAGATCTTCGTAGAGCGCCTTGTCGGGAATCGTCTCTGCTCGGCCAACGTTCTTGATACTTCTTCACCCCATGTTCGAACCATCTGTTGGTAACTCCTGACGCTGCAGGTGTGCGTGCGCATTTGCCCGCAGCTGTGATAATGTCAAGGGCTGGAGCTTGCCAGAACCTAAGCGCGCGGACCGCGCGTGTGGTTCTAGTACCCATTCACACACATATGTGTGTACTACTCGCACTCTGCCACCAAGCCCGTCGATTGCCGCGCAATCCGAGCCCTTCCATCCTACCCGCGCCAAACCACTGCGAAGCCTACGTGCTTCCCGTCAACTCTGCCCCGCGCAACGGCAGCAGGCAGGCGGCGTGCGCGCGCGGCCGCGACGCGTGGATGGGCAGCGGTGAGCCCAACTTTAAGTCGGGCCTGTCTCCCTACAGGGGGATGTTCGACGAATAATAAAAATACCCCAAACATAAGCAACACATAACCAACAAATAGTCTGGGGACCATTTTTTAAATACTATTTTTGGGCCTTTTCTTCGTCGACATCCCCCTGTAGGGGGACAGGCCCGACTTAAGCCTAACTGTGCTTCGCCTGCGTGAGTCCGAATGCTGCCGTCGACGTCGCACCATCCGCGGCGGCCGTGGCGCCGGGGGCGCACGCCGCGCGCGAGCCGACGCGATGCCGCTCCCGCCCCTGCGCGGCGCTCCCCTGTCCCGGGGGGCCGAGGTCCCGATCGGAGGAGGAGGAGGAGGAGGAGGAGGAGGAGGAGGAGCGCGGAGTTCTTTGCTGTTTCCTCGCCGCCTCGTCGACGGCGGGGTCGCGGGCGAGCGGGCGAATTGTTCCCCCCCGAGCGCCAGGTGAATCTCGCGCGGACACGGCCGCGTCGTCGCCGCCAACTTTTCGAAACCTGGCCGCGCGAGATCGGGCCGCAACTCTCCGCGCAGTGATCTTTTTTTGCCGGTGCGCACAAGGGGGATGGAGGGAGGGGGGAGGGCTTCTTAGAAGGAGTGGCTTCTGAGAAGGCGCCAGCCTCACATCTGTAGAGAAGGCCTGCGCTTTCTAAGAAGCAGGGGTGCGTCTGAGCAGCCCTCCCCCCTCCCCCCACCACCCCCTGCGCGTGGCTGAGACGCTGCGCCGGGGCCGCCCCACGAAGACACCCCAAGAGGGCCGAAGACCGTCCGAGGTCCCCCGCCGTCTTCTTGCCTGTCCCGGCGAGGGGAGGCCGAGCTTCCCTGGAACGACCCGACGCCGCGGCGAGAAGACAGGATCGCGAGCTACCACGACAAGGGCCCCCCTCCGCGCGTGGCTGGTCTTGTGTGGGAGCTCTCTCTCTCTCGTCCGCCCGTGCGCGGCCTGTGCTGCTTTTTCCTTCCCTCCCCCCGGTGGGGCCGTCGGCGGCGGGGCCCCCCGCGCGAGCGCCGTCGCCGCCCGTCGGGTGGGGACGGGCGCCCGCTTCGATGCAGCAGGAGCTCGACCACACAAAGCCTTGGCAGGAAACCCGACCCTGAGGCCCCAGGGCGTTCCTGGATTTTTGGCGTGTGGGAGCGTCGCGCTTTCCGTAGTAAAAACTATCGAGGCCCAAGGAAGCCGAGGCACCCTGGAGGCAAGATGGGCGTTTCGTGGCATGGGTTCCCACTGCGCTATTTTGCGCAAGCGCCGTGTCTGATGTCGAGGGAAGGCGTTCCTTGATTTTGTGTGTGTGTTTGTGTGTGGGAGCGTCACGCTTTCCATACAAAAGCCACAGCACCCTGGAGGCGAGAAGGGCGTTTCGTGGCATGGGTTCCCACTTTATTATCTTCTTGCGCAAAACGCCGTGTCTGATGTCGAGGGCGGGGGGGAAGGGTGAGCGCGGGCGGGGCCCGCGGACTCGTTCGTGCGCCCTGGGTGGCTGGATTCCTCCCCCCTGCTCCCCCGCCCTCCCTGCTCCCTGTCCCCCCCTCCTCGTCCTCCTCCTCCTCCTCCTCCTCCTCCTCCTCCTCCTTGTTGGAAGGCGGGCCAGTCCTCGAAAACTCGAGTTGCGTTGAGGATCAAATCTGGCCGGTTCCCCCCCAACCAAGGCGCAACCACGGGGGCGCAGCGCCAGCTCAAGAGATCCGAGCGGACGTTCAAACGTTCCTGTTTGTGAAGCTCTTTCCTCTTCGTTGGACGATGGAGGCGGAAGAGATGGGAGGAGGAGGAGGAGGAGAAGGAGGAGAGAGAAGGAACAGGAGGACGAGGAGGGAAAGGAGAAACGGGAAGAGGAGCAGGAGGAGAAGGAGAGAGGGGGCAGGGGGATTCTCAGGAACAGGAGAAGCAAGAGAACACGACGCCGACGACGCCGACGACGAGGGGCCTCGCTGCTGCGTGGCAGCCCAGCCAGCCCCGTTGGGCGCGATCACGCGGGGCGGCTGTGCCATCGGTGACTCCGCGGTCGCCTCGGGGGCCCGGCGGGCGAGCGGGAGGAGGAGGGAACAGGGAGGGCGGAGGAGGGAACAGGGAGGAGGGAGGCAGGGAGGGATGGGGGAGAGGGATGGCTGAAAGGCGCAGGGAGCAGCGAGTACGGACGAGGAGCAGGGGATGGGGGAGGGGGAGGGGGAGGGGGAGGAGGAGGAGGAGGAGGAGGAGGAGGAGGATGAGGAAGAGGAGGCAGAACGAAACCGTGGCGCTCAACAAAGCGTGGGCCAACGTGCCCTGGCCAACGGCCCAAAGTGGCCAACGGCCAACACCAAGGCCACACGCGCAAAAAGGGCACATAGCGCCAGCAACGCTGTGCCTTAGGAAATCAAGAAGAAAAAACATTAAACCAAGGACCGCCCTACACCCCGCGCCAAAATGGCGCGGGATCGGCGCCCAAGGGACAATGCACGGAGCGTTGCGCAACGCCCGCACCCCCGCAAGCACGGCAACAATGTGCCCGCGGCAAAAACCACTGCAACCAAGAGGTTGCAAACGAGAAACCGCGGGCCCAGCATCCGTGATCGTCAACGGCGGTTCGCCTCAGACCAGGAGGTGCCACTGGGGTCTCCCCGAGCCACAGGAGAAGGAGGCGGAGGAGGAGGAGGAGGAGGAAGAGGACAAGGAGGAGGAGAAGGAGGAGGAGGGGGATGGGGACGAGGAGGAGGAGGAGGAAGAGGAGAAAGATGAGGACAAGGAGGGGAAGAGGAGGATGAGGATGCGGATGAGGATGAGTAGGGGGAGGAGGAGGACGAGGAGAAGGATGAGAGGAGGAGGAGGGGGAGGAAGAGGAGGAGGAGGAGGAGGACGAGGAGGAGGAGGAGGAGGAGGGAGACGAGCCGTAGCCATTTTGGCTCAAGTCTCACGGAGCTAACCTGCCGTGGGTCCCGACTCCAGAGGCTCGAGGCTGAGCCCTCAGGCCTGGCTGCTTCAGCCTAGCGCTTGGTGAGCTCCTGGCGGAGCACAGTTTCTCGCCCCTCGGCGCCCAGAGGTAAGCTTTCAGAGTCAATCCTAGGGCTGCAGATGAAACAGAATGGTGGAGTGGAACCAGCAGTCTTGCCTGGGCCGAAGGCGCCCGCGTGGGGCTGTGCATGTGGGAGGAGCAGCAATTGGGCGAGCAAGGTTCGTTGCGCCTGTGGGGCGAGTGCACCGCGCGGCATCATCCATCGTGCCCGTCAGAATGCCAAAACAGTGTCGGAGTGAACGAGGGCCCAAGCCTGGAGCGCACCCGCAGCCGGGGGGGGGTGTCTGGGCTAAGCAGTCGATTGCGAAGCTCGCCAACTCCGCCCAACTCTTGCTCAAGGCCCAGCCGGCTCCGCCGAGTGTGCGAGGGCTGCCAGCGATGGGGGCCACGGGCGGGGGGGGCCAGCCAAGATGGGGGGCGGTGCCAGCCAGAGCCCACCAGACACGCCACGCGAGAGGGCTGCAATGCTGGGCACGACGGCGAAGGGGCTGGGCCCCGGCCACAAGCTTGCAGAGCTCGAGGCGAAACAGTGTGCATTGGAGTAAACATTGGAAGCGCACCGTGAGGCCAGTGAAGAAGCTCAGGGAGTGGAACATCATATGCAGGCTCAGATGGACAAGCTCAAGTACCTGGTCGAGGAGGCCCGCAAGTACCTGGTCGAGACGATGCCAGTTGGGGCATCCACATGGAGCATCGAACAGTTTGACAAAACCGAGCTCGAGAAGAAGCAGCCCAAGGTCAAGGCCATGGTCGTCTGCAGACGTTCGAGCTAGTTTCTCGTTCGGGGGTCCGCAGCGGCTCACTATTAGTATCGTCCATTTGTTTAGTAAGTGTCCACACGTGGCAAGCCTCAGCTCATCTTTCAGAGCTCTCACCTTCCCCACGCTCACACACTCTGACACATCTCCTCCCCTTTCTATCTCCCTCCCCCTCCTTCCCTATGTAGAAGCCTCCCAGATGGGCTCCGGATAGATGGGGTCGCAGGATCGCATCGCATGGACCGTACATCGGCGATGCATCAGCGACGTCGGCGATACGTCGGCGCCGTCGGCGTGGAGAAAATCGGGCTCCACATCGAGCCGCATCGGCGATGCATCGGCGATGCGGCGCGATCCTCCGACCCCACCTGCTCCGACCCCATCTAGGAGGAATGACCCTATTCCCCCCCTCTGACCATCCTTTCACCGTCCCACTCTGCTTCTTCGTCTTTCACCTCTTTCTCCTCCTCCTCCTCCTCCGCCTCCTCCTAATCGCCCTTCCTTCTCCGCGCCCTCCTGCTTGTCCTCCCGTCACACCACGCCCTCCCCGAGATGTCCCAGGGCATCCTCGCAGACCTCATTATCCGGGGGCCGGCGAACAGACGCGAACATCCAAGACAAACTATTAACGTCGGCTTATGCAAATATACCAGGTGTCCCTCCAGAGGCACGATGCCTCTTGAGGGGCGCCTGGTGGGAACGCGGGCAAGGGCGCGCTGGTGGCTCCTGCCAAGATCTACAATACATAACTCTGTGAACCATACGGAAAAACAGGCTTATGCGAAAAACAAAGATTGGCGGTGGACAAACCTCCCTTTAGTAGACCTACCCTTAGTGAAAACCGCCTGGGACCGAAACCGGCGGAACCGGACCCGCAAAAATGACGGCCGCGACGCCCTCTCGCGAAACGAAAACGGCCGATTCCTTAATCGACGTGTCAGGGTAGGAGGTCTGTCCACCCCCGAGAAGAGAACACAGGGAGGAGCAGAAGCAGACAAAGGAGACGAAGAGGAGGCGGGGAGGATAAACTGGGCACGCTCGTGCCACGTCTGACACCTGACCTCGCCCATACCTTTCCCTTGCGTGAAGTTTCTATATCTGCCCGCGGGTGTCGTAGCCTCAAGCCGCGTTATGCGCAAACAAGAGGGGGGCATGCTCACATTGGATGTGGAAGGGAAGTGGCGAATGAACAGGAAAATGGACAACAAGATGCGGAAGGAAGAGGAACTACCGCAACAACAATGCTCAGGAGCCCCCACAATCACAAGGAGGTGCAACATCACTGTCTCAGTTGATAACGTGGAAATGTTCAAACGTGACCTCCCCCCGCTGAACGTGGATGTTGACCTCGATGACCTTGCCGTTGCGAATGGGGACAAAGACTGGCCGGTCTTGATCCTTGTTCTTCTTCGAAATCATCGAGAGAAGCTTGCAGCCGACCTCGCAACCAGAGTTAGAGTTGCGCACGAGATCGTCATCGAGTTCGATGCCCGTCTCTTTCTCGAACTCCTTCTCGGCTAGAAGGTTCTTCTGCAACACCTGCTCCTCCCAAGCAGGGGTGTAGTGAGGGCGCATCGCAATGGGCGCCTCGAGCAACGGCAACGCCCCCAACACGTTGGCCTTGATGCCGTCTCCGTCGAGATCGTTTACATTGAATTGCGCCTTGCTGAGGTACTTCTTATCAGCCGCGAATGCCTCAATCCAACCTGGCTGGATCTCGCCGGTCATCTCCATAGACTTGGCAGCAACCATCGTGCTCGCACTGAGGCCAACATACACGGGCCCATTTGCCCGCACTGCGTTTACGAGACGAGAAGCGACTGCCTGGTTGCACTGCCATGCCATGTTGAGCATGACGACTTCACCACCCTGACCGGCGATGATGTCAGCCGTGTCGATGTTTTCCGTGCACCATTTGTCGAGTGCGGCAGCGTACTTCACGTTTAACTTCGCAGATATCTCAGCTAGCTCGTCGGCGCAACTCTTTCCCGAGGCGGGACAACCTGGGAGTGATTTGCCCGCCTGACCAGCACCCTCTTTTGGCGGGTTCTCCTTCAGCGCATTGTACGCGTCTTGGGTCAAACGTAGCGCTGCATAGTACGCTCTCTCGTCCTCAGGATCGAGCTCGGCTACGCTGGGGCTTGAAGCCTCGCAGTTGGCGTCGCGGGCGGGCCGATTGAAGAGCCAGGGCTTCTCCAGGATCTGGACCATTTGGATGTTCCTCTGCGGCACGCCCATCTTGTCCTCCAGGCCCTGATCCCACCAGAACCACGTGCCTGGTCCGCGCCCGAGGTTCCCGTTCTCGCCAACCTTACCGTCTCCTGCGCGACCCGCGACCATACTCTCGGGCGGGCGGTGGTACGAGGCGTCATTGATGTAGAGCACCTTATGACTACACCCCCTCCTAACGTAGCCGAGCCCTACCATAACCTGACCCAGGCCCTCTCGACACTGCGCCAAACCTAACCTGACCCATTAACGTTCACGTGGCCAACGGCTCGACGACACCAGTGTGTCACGCGTGCGCGCTGTAGCAAATGATACACCAGAATGAGGCGACACAGCAACACGCAATGTTAATTTGCCAACTGCATCACTGACCCCTCTTCGTTTCCAATGAATCTGGCCGGCGCTGAAGCGAAAGCAACTTTCGCAATCATGGATGTAGCTGGCGCTGAGGCGAGAACAACATTCTCGATCATGGGTGTGGCCGGCGCTGGGGCGAGAGCAAGTTTCGCAATCGTGGATGTGGCCAGCGTTAAGGCGAGAGTAACTTTCGTAATCGTGGGTGTGGCCGGCGGTGAAGCGACAGCATCACTTGCAATCATGGATGAAGTTTGCGCCAATCCGAAAGCAATTTTCGCAATCGTTGGTGTGGCCAGCGCTGAACCGAGAGCAACATTCGCAGTCGGGGAGGTCCCCACAAGGCGACAGCAACACTCGCAATCATGGATGTGACTGGCTCTAAAGCGAGAGCAACGTTCGCAATCATGGATATGTGTCTGGCGCTGAACGATAGCAGCCGTTGTAATTGTGTATGTGTCTGGCGCTGAGGCGAGATAAGACGCTCTCAATAACGGACGTGGCCAGCACTGAAGCGATAATAACGTTCGCAATCATTGACGTGGCCGGCGGAGTTGCGAACACAAGAAACGCAATCATGGATGTGGCCTGCGCTGCGGTGAAAACAACACTTCAAACCATGGATGCGGCCTGGGTCAAAGCCAACACAACGTCGATATAGTGATATAGTGGATGTGGCCACAAGTGAGGCGAGAGCATCCGTCGTAATCGTGGGCGAAGGGTCCGAGTGAACGCGCGCACTGGCTCCAGCGCAACCAGCAGCAGTACTGAGACGAGCAGCGCCAGAAACAGCGGCACCATGCGCAGCAGCAACAACACCAACGCCAACAATAGCAGACATTGTAGTGGGAGCCCCACAAGCGACTCCAGCAGTACCTCTCTGACCAACACGGCAGCAAACAGCACCACCACCACGCGCACCAGCACCAGCGACACTAGCAACACCAGTATGACGACCACGACGGGACATGGAGCAGCAGCACCACGCGACACAGCACATACGCCACCAGCAGCAACATTGACCACAACGGCAGTAAACAGCAACACCAAACGCAGTACCACTAGCGTCAACAGCAGCGAGCACGACTGGAAGCAACAACGCCACGCGAAGCAACTCAAACGCAACCAGCAGTACCAGTGTGACCAGCACGACGAGAGGCAACACCACTACACGCACCAGCACACGCGCAAGGAGCAGCACCGCCGCGACGAGCACGACAGGATCCAGCAACACGACACGCGCCAATACAAACCCCACCAACAGCACCACTGTAATCAGCACGACGACTAGCAGCAACACCAAGCGCAGCAGCACACATGCCATTAGCAGTTCTACTAGAACGAGCACGACAGGCACTAGCAGCGCTGGACTGCGCGAGCGCCCCCACCACCCCGCAGGCCAGACCAGCGGGGGGGGGGGCGTTCACTCCAGCGCAAAGCGTCATGGCCCAGATCGTTCGGGCTTGGGCAGATCAGCAGTTACTTCCGGGGTGGGGCGCGCACCTCCTAGCCAAGCTTCGCACGGACGGACTGCGCATCCAGCGCGAAATCGAACGATCAGCCCCGTCCTCGCGCTCGCCCTGGCGCTCCTGGCTGCGCTGCTCCTGTAGGCCCGGGCTGGCGCAACCCGTTCCCCTGGAGCGACCGCTGTTCGGGCTTGGGGCGAGCAGCAGTTGCTTCCGCGCAAAATCTCGCGCGGACGGATTCCGCATTTCTGCTGTGGGGCCTGGTCCCCAGCGCAAAAGCGAACGGCGGTCTCTCCCAGGGGGAAAGGTTGCGCCAGCCGCGGCCTGTAGTAGCAGCGCTACCCGGGGCCGCCACGGCGAGCGGAAGGATTGGGTAATGGCTCGTCGCGGGCCCTCCGTCAGCGCCCGCTGCCTGCTGCTGCCCGTCCCAGCCAGCAGACCAGCGCCCAACACCAGCGCCCTGCCCAGCCAGCAACGGCGCCTAACCTTGCCAGCAGCGTACCCTTGGCAACGCCCTCCCGCCGTCGTCGTCCATGGCGTCCAGCGGCTGCCGCGCTGCCGGCTTCGCCACTGCTCGCTGCAGCTGCGGGCCGCCACGCGTCAGGCGTGCAGCAGGCGAAGTGCGAGCGCAACGCGCAAACTCCACTGTGACCAGCACGACAAGAAACATCAGCACCACTCGCAGCAACACCAGCGCCACCAGCAGTCCCTCTGTTAGTAGCACGAGAAAGAATAGTAGCACCACCAGTGCGACCAGCTCGACATGAAGCAGCAGTACCTCCAGCAACAGCGCGAGCGCCACCAGCAGCACTGCAACAATGCAACCAACCCTAGCGACACTGGTGACCATAACGACAGCAAGCATCATCACGCACAGCAACACCAGCGCCACAATATGTAGCGAGCAGCAGTGTGTCCAACACAGTGGCAACCAGCAACACAAGCGTAACAAACAGTACCACTGTGGCCAGCACGACGGGAACCAGCTGCACTAAACGCAGCAGCACCAATGCCACCCGCAGCGCCAGTGTGACCAGCAGGACGGAAAGCAGCAGCACTACGCGCAGCACAACAACCGCCACCAGCAGCACCATTGTGACCAGCACGGCGAAACAGTAACACTACTTTCACCAGCCCAAGCGCAAGGAGCAGTACCAGTGTGACGAGCACCACCAGAGACAGCAGCCGTCCGCGAAGCAGGAGCACCAGTGTGACAAGCACGGAAAGAACATGCAGCACAACAAGTAGCACTACCGGCGCCGTCAGCAGCACAACTGCGGCCAGCCCGACTGGAAACAACAGCACTACGCGCAACAGCACAAGTGCAGCGAGGAGTACCACTGTGAGGAGCATCGGTGGAAGCAACGCGACTGTGACCAGCCCGGCGGAAATCAGCAGCATCATGCACAGCACTATTAGCGGCACCAGCAGCAACAATGTGAACAACAAAACGATAACCAGTAGCACAACGCAAAATAATCCAAAGGGCACCTTGGCACCAAACTGGCCGCGGATGGTGCCGCGATCGGGAAGCTTGCGCAGCCCACAAGCTTGTGCGGCTGCGTGGAATGTAGCTCGCAATCAAGATGTGGCACGCGCCCCAGCGATGGCACAGTCTATAACCAAGGCGAGAAAGGCATTGGCAATCAAGGGTGTGGCTGGCGCCGAAGCGGCAGCACAACATTCGCAATCATGTTTTTGGCCGGCGCAATGCGCGAGCAGCACTCGGAATCGAGAGCACAGCCCACTCTGAGGCGAGACCAGCAATCGCAGTCAAGCGCGCGGCGGGCGCCCAGGACCTGGGCGGAAGCAGCATTGCGCGTCGAGAATGCGGCCCACGTTGAGGCGAGAACAATTATCGCAGTCATGCGTGCGGCCGGCGCCTATGCGAAACCAGTATTCGCAATCAGATGTGGCCGGTCGCGCAGCGAGACCGACATGCTCAATGAAAGATGTGGCCGGCGCCTGGGCGACAGCGACATTGTTCATCAGACATGAGACCAGCGCCACAGCGAGAACGACATGCTTAACGAAGGATGTCGTCGGCGCCGAGGCAAGAATAATTAACATGTTCAATCAGACATGTGGCCTGCGCCACACCCAGAACGACATGCTGAAGGATGTCGCCGGCGCTTCGGCGACAGCCGCATTTTCAATTCAAGATCTGGCTAGCGACAAGGCGAGAACGACACACTCAATGAAGGATGTCGTCAGCGCCCAGACGACAGAAGTATTTTCAATCAGACATTTGGCTGGCGCCAAGGCGAGAACGACATTCTCAATGAAAGACGTCGCTGGCGCCCAAGCGGCAGCCACATTTTCAATCAGAGATGTGGCCCACGCACAGGCGAGAACCACGCGCTCAATGAAGGATGTCGCTGGCGCCTGGGCGGCAACAACGTTTTTAACCAGAGATGTGGCCCATGCGCTAGCCGGAGCATCATTCCGAGACAAGCATGTCGCCAGAATGCAGGTGTCACTTCCATTCTGCGCGGGCCGGGCTCGGCGTCACCGAGGTCCTGGCTACGTTTGGGTAGTCCATCTTAGGGGGGGGTGTAACCCAAAAAAGACCCCTAACCCTTTGGGAGGGGACCTAAGTTAGGAGTGCCGAAAACATTATGGATATGGGGTCCTGTCTGTAGGTTCACCGAACCAAACCGCCTATAATTATTAATTATCCCCAATGCGAAGACGAGGACCTCAGTGAGGCCACGTCTTCATCGTGCTATTAGGGTTAGGGGCTCTTTTGTGCTCTTGATGACCTTAAGCTTCCGAATCTCGCTGGCGTACTTCTTCACCAACCCTTCCCGGGTCGCCCCGGGGCCCCGGTCCGCCCTGTCGAGCACGCCGCGCCTCAAGAGAACGACCTGGATGAAGCGCGCCCACTGCGTCTCCGTCACGAAGCCGGTGGACGTGAGATAGCACACAGGGCAGAGGGGAATGTCCAGCTCCTTGGGAGCGGCCCCCTGCTGCTCGGCTTGCCCCTGGCGGCCGGTAGACGAGCCTGCGGCGTGGGCAAGGGGAGCTGACTGCACCGCGGACGGCCGACTGCTGAACAACGACGAGAACCCCGAGGAGACGGAGGTGCGGGCGCCAGCCGTTGCGCTGGCCTCGACAAGCTCCCCCGCCAGCACGGGCGCTGGGCCGGCTCTGGGCTGCCGCTCGGCTCGCCCGTGTCGCCCAGACGAAGCGCCTGCCGCGCCGGCAAGGGGTCCTGGCTGCACCACGGACGGCCGACTGCTGAACAACGATGATACGGAGGTGCGGGGGCCGGCAGGCGCGCTTGCTTCGACAAGCTCATCCGCCAGCGCGGGTGCCACGGCGGTGGGGACGGACAAAGCGCACTGCGAGCACAAATCTTCCGAGCACTGGTGGCAATTCCATCTGTAACTTCCGCAATTATCCTGCCAATTGCGGCAAATACGCCAATTCTTGCACCCCCAGCCGTGCGGCACGTCATAAGGGGGCCCGCTGAAGTCGCTCCAAGACATGCCTTGCTCGCAGTGAGGGCACTTCGGAACAGAAGCAGCGGAAAGAGTGGCGACGGTGGTGTCGTCGTCTTCGTCGTTGCCGATCGACCCGGTCTGTTCTGCGCTGCTCCAAGACGCATTCCGACCTGGCCTCTTCACCCTCCTCTTCTTGTGCTGCTTTGCCCTCCGCTCCGAGACGGGGTCGCCAGCACCCTCTGCGCCATCAATGCTCAGGAACACCGCGTCGAGTGAAGTGGTGGCACCGCCTGCCGGGGTGCCCTCGAGGGGCTCCAGCTTCGCCACCTCCGCAGCCGCTGCGGCCTGCCACACGGCCTCCTGCGGCGTCGGTTCGGCTGGCTCTGCATGCTCTGCCCGCTCTTCCAGCTCGGTGGGGGCGGCCTCAAGCTCAGCTCCAACGCTGCCGTCCGGCTTGCCCTGGTCCGGCAGGCCAAGCTTTGCATCCCTGCTGTTCCTGCACAGCCCGGCGACCATGCAGATACAGCAACACCCGACAGCAGCCGCGCCCACGGGCAAGGCGACAGAGCGCTCCCAAGAGAAGGCTCCCACTGGCTCTGGACCTGGATCTGGCTCCACTGTCGCATTCGTGTCGTTGTTCGTGTCGGGTGTGTCCGTTTCTGCGGGCACTTCCTGGGCCACGCACCCGAAGGCATCCGCACAGGTGTTGCGGCAGGTCTCTGCCGTCTCTTCCCCTAACGGACCTCGGCGACTCTGCACGGCGTACATTGCAAAGGGTGTGGTTTGCAATCCGGACCCCTTGGGGGCGGGCGAGGACCCAGACAGAGCTCTCCACCGCGCCCCGAGGAGGCCCGACGAGGGCAACGTGATGCCCCCAAACCCTAACCCAGACCCCCGACGTCACGATTTTGCTCATGACGTCGACCCCTAAAGGCCTCGACCCTTTCCTCGGGACCGGCTTTTATCCTGAGTAGTTTTTTGACGGTCCCGAGGCGCGTCAAAGGGCCCCACAGGCCGAAAATGGAGAAACAACTCCCGTCATGTCTTTTCCATGACCCAGGGTCTGGGAATGACGCAGATCGCAAAACCACACCCGGGCGCAACCATGCCCTGCATGGTCGCAGCGGACCGTCCACGCCGCAGAAGCCCTCGACGAGCAGTTCCTGGCAGCTGAAGGGGGACCGCCGACGGCTGCTCTGATCGGCCTCGCAAGGCTGGCGGCACCCCAGCCCGCAGCTCGACTGGCAGGCCTCGCGGGCCTCGTCTCCCAGCGGCCCCGCCGTGGAGCAGTAGCCCTCCTCCTGGAGCTGCCCGCAGCTGAACGGGCTCCGCCGCCGTTGCGCATCGTTCTCCCTGCACGCCGGGAGCTGCCCAGTGCTGGTGGGACTGGGCGTCGGGCTGGCGCTGGTGCTGGCAGAAGAACAGAAACACGGCAGCCCCCAAAAGCCCTCGGAGATCCGCGCCGAGAGCCCTCCGAAGAGACCCCACGAAGCATCCCCGAGGCCTCTGACCCACCTCCGAAAGGAGAAGCAGCGGCATCAACATTAACTTTTGGCGCTCCGCGCGGACTTCTTGGCTCTTGTTCTTCCTCTTCTTCCTCTTCTTCTTCTTTTTCTTCTTCTTCTTCTTCTTACATCAACTTCTTCTTCTTCGAACGTCGACGTCGCCGTCGCCGCCGCCGTCGTCCCCCGTCAGGGTCGGCGGCCTCCGGCCGTCAGAGGCCTCCGCAGAACTCCCCGAGGCCCGCGCGGGCTCCTTCTTTGGCTCCGCGCTTGCCCGGCCCCCCCCCTCTCTGCTCCGGCGCGCGGGGCGGGCGCGCGGGGGACAGCGCCGGGGGGGCGCCGCCGGAGGGCGCCGTCCGAGGGAGGCCCACGAGGACGACCTTCGAGCAGGGCTGCTCGCTGCAGGTCCGTGCCGTGACGACCCAGGCAGGAGCCCCACCGGCCCTCTGAGGCGCAGGTGTGTCCACGAGCCCTTTGGGCGGCATGTGGTCTGAGGAGGGTCTCTTTCCTCTTCCACGGCCCCTCTTCCCTTCGGGGAGGGGAGCCCTCCCCCTCCCCTCCCAGAGGTTTTTTGGGAGGGATCGCGAGGTGTAGGTGGTTTAACGAACTTTGTCGCCTCTCTCTGCCAGATCACCTCCTTCGGAGGAGGGGTTCACTCGTCCACCTGCCCTCTCCCCTGGGCCTGGGAGGGCGGGGGACGGAGGGGTTGGAGCGTTCAAGATGGCCCAAGATGGCTCCAAGAGGGTCTCAGAGAGCCCACGACGGCCTCCAAACTCCAAGATTGCTCAAGATACCTCCAGCTGGCTCACGATAGCCTCAGACAAACATCCAAGAGGCCTCAAGACGGCCCGAAGATGGTTTCAAGAGCCCTCTGAGCCCTCTAAGGGCCCCCCCAAGAGCCGAACGTGGCTCCCAGACCGAAGGACTATCAACGTGTTTTGCCTTCTCGCCTTTTCGCTTCCGATGGGCTCCTGAGGCCTCAAGATGGTCACACGACGGCCCAAGAGAGTCCCAAGAGGGGCCCATGAGGGCCCCAAGAGCGCCCAAGAGCGCCCCAAAAGCGCCCCAAAAGGGCCTCAGTTTTCTGTTGTTGAACCTCCGAGTGGGGGGCCTTAATCTTTTACCCCCCCTCTTTTTGAGTCATGGGGGCCAAGAAGATGGCCCCAAGAGGCCTCCCAGACCCCTCCAACGAGCCCGAAGAGGGCCCCACGAAGGCGATAAGAGAGCCCAATTGGGGTCTCAAGAACACCCCAGGAGGCTCCGCGAGGACCCCAAGAGAGCCCCAATATGGCTCCAAGACACATCCGATAAAACGCTTCCAAGGCGGTTGTTACACTGCACTCTTCTACACTTCCCTGATCAATGCAACTCGCCTGGCGATCTGCTTCTGGATTGGCTGGCTGGGATGCGCGAACCATCACGAACTTGTAACACCGCGTGGATCGTTCAACCTTCAACAATCGGCTGGTTCTCAATCGCCAGATCGTTCCACTGTTCCATATTGGCCGATTCGACGCAACTGGGAACGTTCAACCTTGAACGCCCGCGCTGGGTTCGCAGCGGCGTCGACACGACACGGACCTACAACATGATACTTTTGTTCTTCGTGCTAAACAGGGTCGTGTCGAGGGACACGACGAGGATAATCGTTTGCCACGCAGAGGAACTCGTGCTCCAGGAACGCATCCCCGCCGCGGATGTCGCGACTGCGCGCAGCCGTGGCGCCTCCTGGGCCAACTTAGCCATGGTGGAAGATGGTGATATTAGAAGGAAGGACGCGGACCTTGGGAACATCCTCTGCCTCTCAACGGAGTTGTTCGTATACACATGTGCACCCATGTTCGCCCGCCCGTGTGCATCTCTCTTTCTCGCTCTCTCTCCCCGTCTCCCTGTACATATACAAGAACATCCCAACCACTTCTTGCACTGAAACATTCATACGCCTTTTCTGAATAACTGAAGGGGCGGGGTCGCCGGTCTGGCGGCTCCGTGCTCGCCGTCGCCGCCCCGTCGCCGCCCCGTCGCCGCCCATCGTCTGGGCGGGGTTGTCGATCTGGCGGCTCCGTGATCGTCGTCGCCGCCCCGTCGCCGTTGTCGCCGCCTCGCGTAGACTGCACCGCATCAATTATACAACATAGGTTGAGCCACATACATTGCATCGCACATAGTGCACCATACGGGTTGCACCACATGTATTGCACAATCTAGGCCGTACCACCTACATTGCACCACATCCATTGCGCACCATATATCTCATCCATAGGTTGCACCACACATGTTGCGCCACATAGCTTGCACACCTTAAGTTGTACCGCATATCTTGGACACCGTAGATCGCAGGCCATGGATTGGACAACACAGATGGCACAACATAGACCACACTACATAGTTTGCACCACAAATAGTGCATCGCAGATATTGCCATTCAGATATCGCTCCCAATACATTGCGCAACGTTAGAGAACAACATAGATCGCACCCCATAGGTTGCACCGCAGATGCTGCACCACATACTTAACTGCCAATGTATTGCACAACATAAAATGCTAGAAACACATTGGGTTTGGGGTACATGCAAGCCAACATATTGTTGTGTTTGTGTGTGTATGAGTATATCTATATTCATATATGGCCCCAACCCTCAAAACCAACAATCGCCCAAACCAGCGACACGTACTCTTATCATTTTGGTGTCTCTCTCGCTTTCCCGGGAGACCGTCCAAGGAGGAGGCCCGCAAACAGAAACTAAGCACATGGAAGGGTTTGCAGGGGAAGGGCGAGAACGAGAGGGGAAACACCGAAGATTAGGCTGAAGAGAAAAACGACGAGACCAGCTATATTCTTATTGGTTTGGACATGTCAACATCCTCTCACTCTCTTTCTCGCTTTCTGAATCTGTCTGCAAGCGAAACTTGAATGGCCATGGTGCAGTCTTGCGAGAATCTCTTCGTCTTTATAAACTATACCCCCCCCCCCGCAAGTGCGGATGGGAGTCCGGTTTGGTGTGGTCTCGGCGCGACGCGCCGCCGCAAGCGTCCTTGGACCAGCGCCACCAATGGGCCCCCACGAAGCCGCGGGCCCCCAGGATGGATTACTGGAACGAGGTCAACCATTCAATGACGAAGCCCGCCGCAGGCGCCGATGTCTTCCTTCTCCAGCGCTGCTGCACCTCTGCGCAGCCAAGATCCGGTGCCACCCGTGGGCCCTGCGGTGAGCCCCCCCCCCGACGGGCTAATCACTGGAAGAAGCTCCACGGAACATTCAGTGGAGAAGTCCGCCGCAGGCGCCGATTGTTTCACCCTTCAATAGACGAGCGCGATCCACTACTCGCAAAGTAGCTACTCGCAAATGGCCTGGATCCGCCCCGAGGCATCTCCGATATATTGCTTCGAAGCAGCCCCGTTTTTTTCGGGCGTTTTCCACTGGGCACTTTGCGAGCACTCGAACGCGCTCGGAGATTCAACACGGCGTTGCCGCGAAGCCAGAACCAACGCCGCCCTTGGTTGAGCAGGGACCGACCGTCCCGGCATTCCTATAGCCCTACCACGAATTGTTCTTAGAACCCAAAGCGTTCTAATAACAAAAACAATATTCTTAGAACATCCACCCCATGTGTGAACAGTGAACACAAGACAGCCCCGGCCAGAAATGCTCTGAGAACATTTCGTGGGGACCACCAACGGTTCTTAAGAACATTATTTTCAGCAGTGGACAAACCTCCCATTAGTAAACCTCCCTTTAGCGAAAACGAGCTAGGACCGAAACCGACGGACCTGGACCCGCAAAATAACGGCCGCGACGCCCTCTCGCGAACCGAAAAAGGCCAATTCCTTAATCGACGTGTCAGGGTAGGAGGTCTGTCCACCCCCGATGTTTGGTGGGGCTCTAGGCGCGCCAGGACGCTTCGCCACTGTCTGGCCCCACCCCCCGGCCCCCACACGTGCGCGTGGGCCTCCCGGGGGGGGCCCTCGGGCCCCCCCCCCCCAGACTGGAAAGAAGAAGAAGAAGAAGAAGAATAATAATAATATGAATAATAAGAAGAATAATGATAATAACAATAAAACTAACAAGTATAATAATCATAAGAATAATAACACTAATGATAATAATAAGACGAAATATTAACAGTAACAATACGAATGAGGATAGTAATAACGATCGTGCTACGAAGAATTCTGAGACTACCGAGGAGAAGGACGATCAGCAAGAAACCATGTACAGGCGGCGACGTTTGGCTGCCCCGAAGCAGCCAACTCGCGTACGACTTGAAATATATTCGCATGAACGGAACGCCCTCACTCCGACATGCGTGCATACATACGTTCACACGTGTGTATGCATAGAAAGTAAGCACGATATCGGACTCAAAATTACACGGCGACCATGCGATGATATCAACAACACGTTTTGCTTCCCAATGCGACCAATCGTCACATCGCCTACATAATGAAGGCAAACTGAAGGCACAACGGAATACGTAAGGGTACAGACAAGCCCAGGAGATCTGGCACACCTCTCACTAACTGCCTTCCCGATGGCTGCCGTTGTCGCCATCGGCAGTCTGGTTCGGCACAATCTGCCAATCGGCGCAGGTGGGCTCAACACGAACCTCGTAGCCCTTGACGAGGGTGTTCCCAGGCAGCGGGTCAACAGTGCCAGCGAACTCTCCAGCCGGACGAGTGTGTCTTGCCTCACGCTCCTCGATCTCGGCTGGAGGGTGCCCAGGAGATACCCGAGGAGGAACGGCACGCCGCTCGCCGTGCGCTTCACGAGGGTGGGCGGCTTGGGGGTGCCCAGGGGGCCCCTGCGGATGACGCGCTCGTCGCTCGCCGTGGGCCTCTCGAGGGCCCACGGCTTCGGGGTGTCCGCGAAGTCCCTGAAGATGAAGCGCAAGCCGCTGGCCGGGCGTGTCTCGAGGCGCCGCGGCCTCGGGAGGCCCGCGGAGCCCCTGCAGGTGCCGCGCGAGCCGCTCGCCGTGCGCACCCGACGAGAACAGGTCGCCGCCGAAGCTGATGCAGCCGGTGCGGACGACCTCTAAGGAAGCCAGCACTGTCAACAACACGCGCGCCATGGCTCGCGACAGATGGGCCCAGTCCCGTGAGGTATCCCGACTGGTGTGCTGGACTGGGCCATCATGGCTACGGAGACACCCGGGCATGCACGGCCAGGGCGGGTCACGACCAACGCATCATTGTGCCGCTTCGCCCCCAAGCCTCCGACGCCGTGCTTTTCCTGCAACGTGGTCTCCCCAAAATGTTGACCCCTTCCGCCGGGACCGGCTCCTCGTCTCTGGCCGTTTTTGACGGCCCCGAGGCCCAGTGTTATGTCGGGCGTGTCTCCTTACAGGGGGATCTTCGACGAAAAATAAAAAATACCAAACAAATGCACCAAAAAGGTCAACAAATAGTAAAAAAAATAGTCTGGGGACTATGTTTTGAGCATTTTTTTGTTATTTTTGGGGTATTTTTTTACTGTTCGTCGGAAATCCTCCTGTGGGGGGACATGCCCGCCTTAAGCCCAGTGAGGGCCCCCGCAAGCAGAACACATAGCCTCCTTTCCGCAGCGCGAGGCCTGGGCGCAGCGGTTGGCACGACTCGTGCCCTCGCTTTTCGTCACCCTGGCCCCTCGCGAACGGATCGCCCCCTTCCTGCACTCCTCCTCCTCCTCCTTCTGGCCGATCGCCCGCGCCTTCCATCGATCGGTTGGGCGTCGCCTGATGGGGGGGGGGGCGATACATGGGGAGAACCTGTGCACTTCTCGGACCTAGAAGGCCCGCTTTGGGGCAATGAAGGGCGCCTTCAGGGGCCCTGAAGGGCTCCATTTCTGAAGCCCTCGCTGCCCCGCCCGTCCACCGCCCCCCCCATAGCGCGACGCCCAGATCGGGACCTCCTCCTCCCCGCCGTCCTCCTCCCTCCCCTTCCTCCCTGCCCCCTGCCCCCCTCCCGCTCCCGCCCGTCCCCCCTCCTGCGCCCCCCCCCTCGCCCCCCTGCCCCTCCTCCCTCCTCCCTCCCGTCCTCCTCCTCCCTCCTCGTTCCTCCTCCTCCTGTCCTCCTCCTTCCTCCTCCCTCCTCCATCCTCCCTCCTCCCTCCTCCGTCCCTCCTCCTCCTCCTCCTCCTCCTCCTCCTCCTCCTCCTCCCTCTTCCCCGTCCTCCTCCTCCTCCTCCTCCCTCCTCCCTCCCGTCCGCCTCCTCATGTGGCTGCTGTCCCTCCCGCTCTCCGCCCCCTTCTCCACCACCCCCCTCCGCTCCCGGGGGGCCACTGCGCCCCTCCACTCCTCCGCCGCCTCCACCACCTCCTCCTCCTCTCCTCCTCCTCCTCCTCCTCCTCCGCCTCCTTCTCGTTCTCCACCTCCTTCTCCCCCTCCCCCTCCACCTCCTGCACCTCTCTCCCTCCTCCACCTCCCGCTCCTCCTCCCCCCTCCCCCTCCCCTCCCCCTCCTCCTCCTCCTCCTCCTCTCTCCTCCTCCTCCTCCATCTCCTTCTGTTCCTCCTGATGGCAATGGCGTTCGCTGCTCCTCCTCCTCCTCCTCCCTCCTCTCCTCCTCCTCCTCTCCTCCTCCTCCTCCTCCTCCTCCTCCTCCTCCTCCTCCTCCTCCTCCTCCTCCAGTCCCTGCGGGCCCTCCGAGCACAACCGACGGCCATCGAAAAACCCTCGAACCACCCAACCGCGAACGCCCGACATAACGCCCGAGGACGCTGCGAGCGCCTCCGACACGACCCCTTTTCCGCCGCCCCATCACCGGGAGGCTCCCAATATGTACTGGCACCCACCCCCGAGGGACTTCCTCGCCCTCCATCGCTCCCTTTCTCCCTCCCTCCTCCCTCCCCCT